CCACCAGACTTTTCATTTGAATGACAAAAAGGAAGTGGACCATCGGTTCGATAGACAACCTTGACCGAAGGGGGAATCGGAGGAAGAGGTTTGGTTGCGCAGTCAGCTGATTGAGGACCACCAGAACGATTTACTCCATTCTTGTGGGAATGACTAAATGCATTTCTAGACTCGATGGCGTGTTGGGGAACGTAAGGTCGCGGCGGTTGGAGAGAAAATGATGCATGATTTGATGGATTAATACCTCGATGGGTGATATTAAAACGAGTCACATCAGGCACACTAAATGGTTCCTTAAAATCCCTGGCCTCTAAGGCAGAAGTATTATTGACGCTTTCTAGGGTGGAAGACAAATGTCGATTTCGGCACGAAGGAACAGCCAAATTTGATTGATACAAAAGTTCCTTTGGTAGCTGACTGGAGCCCACAGAAGGATCATTCAGAAGAGAGCTTGAATGAGAATCTGAAGGAATAAAAGGGCTGGAATGAAGGGCAGGAACAGATGAAGGGTGCTTGGGAGGAATGGGAGGGATGACGATGGAACGCTTTGGGGGAAGCGGAGGAGGCTGTGTCTTATCCTGAATAGTCCATTTGTCATGGGCTTTAAAAGAACGCCTCGGTGGACGGTAGGGCTGTTCTCCAAACTGGAGGGCCGACAAAGTTGGCAATATTGGCGAAGCTGCCAAGCTGGAGGATTCAATGCCCGTATCATCCGTAGTGCCGGAGGCAATAGAGGCGGTAGTAAAACTTGGTCCAGTTTGGATTTGCATATTGTTATTCGGTGCATTTGAAAGAGGCCGATTTTCGCCACAATTGCAAGTGCGTGGCATTGCATGCTCGAACAGAGCAGCACGGGGCGTATTAGGTGAAAATTAAATTCTAGCTATAACTCCGAAATATGAAGAAATATTAGTAGTCTAATATAATAATATACGGCTGAAATAAAATCATGTTCGGATAACAAAAAAGCTAAGTGGTCGGTGGAAAAGGATTCCAAAAGGTGTGAGAGAAATTTCAAATAGCACTGAAACCCGCAAACCAGCAAAACAAACAACAGTAGCAATTTTTCATAAAATAAGTAG